TCAGCCGCTCCTCATAAGACTTGTTCTCCAGACCCCTCACCAGCCTCGTTGCCCTTCTCTGGACACGCTCCAGCACCTCGACGTCCTTCTTGTAGTGAGGGGCCCAAAACTGAACACAGTATTCGAGGTGCGGCCTCACCAGTGCCGAGTACAGGGGCACGATCACTTCCCTACTCCTGCTGGCCACACTATTTCTGATACAGGCCAGGATGCCATTGGCCTTCTTGGCCGCCTGGGCACACTGCCGGCTCGTGTTCAGCTGGCTGTCGACCAACACCCCCAGGTCCTTCTCTGCTGGGCAGCTTAGTTTTGCAATGAATTTATGATCCACTGAAAACTTTTTTCCTACATTGTTGTTTAAAACAAACAAACCCTAAGTACTAGTGCTCTAGGTACTGTCAATGTTTTTAAGCAAAAAAAAAAAAAAGTCTGAAAAGTGATGTCATGACTGTAAAGTCTGATGCAGCTGTAGCATTGTTTATCAGCATTCCTGGTTTGCCTCTGATGAATTGGTAGTACAGAAAGTGGAAGACAGCAATAAGAGCTCATAGCATTTTACGTTATCAAAACATTATAGCACAGTAGTTGATATTTATAACACCTATGTAGGGCAGGAATGTGAATAGTTTTCCTGTCATGATTACCTCTTTTTACAGAGGTAAAAACAGAGATGAAGCTGACTTGCTTCACGTGGCAAATCCTGTGACAGTCGTCCTCTACACTACATTGTCTTTCAAAAGCTTTTAGATAATGAATGCTGAGTATGGATTGATGGATATTGCTAATAAAAAGGTTGTGATTCTTTATTGATTACACATGGTAAACATTTTACTACTCTTTTTTTCATGGCATAACTCATAAGCCTCCAGAAGATCCAATGTAAGAAGAAAGCAACCATCCACTGGAGCTAATAAAATGATAGGCTGTGGTTTAGCATTATGTTTAATACTGTGTATAGTCGAAGTCTATGAGTAATCCCATTAATTGGAGTGGAATTACTCCTACTCTTATAACGCTGCATTTGCTTAATTAACTTGCTGAATTGGAGCCATAATCTTCAAGCATTACTCCCCTTTTAAGGAGAAACTTAAGAACATAGTAAACTAAAACTTGGCTTAATCCTGCATTGCAGTCAGTCTAGGTTCCTGTATGTAATCCTAATATTAAATGGAATAGTAAGAGAGATGGTAAACATTTTTTTAGGATTGAGCCACAGTGCTTAATCTTCCTTTCCACGAAGAAAATGAGAGAATTCACATAGACTTCAATAGTAGCGCCTTTTTAAAGAAACAAAAGATTAGAAAAAGGTCTGTGAACCGCAGGAGGTAAAAGGTTTATGTTAGGATAATTTTTGAAAATAATAACAACTTCGATTCTACTTTAGAAGAAAAAGTAGCAAAGAGGTTGTAAAAATATGAAAAAGCTCTTCATGTTATTAAGGATAGAAAATAAGGATTTACTTGCTAATTATAAACGTTTCTTCACCGCTGATCCAAACTCTGACAAATTCTCCATATGTCTTATTGTAGTAGTTGCAGGCGTTACCTACTCCCATCCAGAGAAATCTCCCATGTGAAATGAGGGGACCGATTCCCATACAGTATCCTGGCCCTAAGAAAAATAGGGTAAGAAAAGTGTGGTCTCAGCAGTGCTCACTGACAAGAACATACCCTTTTGAAATGAGCTTTTTAACAGATGACAGTCAAGGTCTGTTGGGCCCTTCACATCTACGATCCCATTCTGAAATTCTGTCTTAGAGAAACTTGCATCTACGTTGTTGAAGCCTCACTTAATATCTGTGGAAGCCCATAGTCCTTTCAATGTACGTACAACTAGTGACATTCATTACCTCTTTGTACAACTTCAAACTGCTGCTTTGAGATTGCTTACATTTGGAGGGACAGTGGCTAGATATCAGAAAGAAGGAATGATCTAGAGAAAATGCATATGGCTTATTAATTTGTGATTTTAACAAATCCTTTGAGTGATTTTTTGTGTTGAAGTGTCATAGTAACATCTACAAAAGTCAATATTCCTTTGATGTAATTAAATGTAATTAATTACGCTTCTCTTAAAGTCATTAATACTAGAGTGAGAAAACATATTTAAAGGAAAAAGTATTTTTACTGCTGTCAACTTATGAAAACATGATTAAGTAGGAGCTAAGAATGGATTAATAAGCATTTAGTCAACAAAGTTCTCAACTAAATCCTTCCACTGTAACTCAGCACCAAATTTCCCTCTTAGAACAAAAAAGAGAAAGTGGCGAGAGCAGGAGAGAATTTGCCTTTAATTACTTTTTAAAGGATGTTTCCTTCTTCAGGGAAAGCTTAATTTGCCCCTTTTGTCTGTAAAACATAAATCTAACCCCATAAAACAAAACAAATCGAGTACTTACAAAACTTTTGTACACTGTTTAAAAATGTAGAAGTTGCTTACGGCTCCACCGTTTACTAATAGGAATCACAAGAACCCAGATTATTTAAATACCTGTAAACTTAAAGCATATTAATTTAGTTCTGTCTTCTTGTTGATCCGTTCAAGCATTCAGATAGAATGCATAACCTTCTGCGAATACTTTTCCCTGTTCCCTAACTTTGGAAGAGTTTTAGCATATTGAAGGATGTTTGGTAAGGATCTCTTCTCAGAATTTCATTCAGGTGCCACTGAATTGGTTTAGGATTATTCCTGTCAAACACCTTCGTGAGATGTGTACGCTGTTCTCATTCATGCGGTAGGTCATTGCATTGCATCTAATGAAAAATAGGCTGAATCAGTAATGTCTACCATAAGCCCCCAAAACATTACAGAAGGGGCCTCTGAAAGGGGAACCGTTTGATGTTCTCTTCTGGAGGGTCTTCAGTGCCAAACATGGAGAGAAAAATTGATAATTACTAAAATCTGAATAATTTCCTAGGTAATAGTTTGTTTCTAGTAAAGACAATTTAGAAAGCTTTAAACTTAAAATACGTAAAAAGTAGTTTATAATGCACATGAAAATATGAACTTCTAGAGTTTGTAAAATGGTATTATATCTTTCTAACATATACGTAATAAAGCAGAAAACTAAATGTTGTATATTTATACAGCCAAGCCAGGGTTATTATGGAAGTTCTGAGGTTAAATAAAGCCTGCTTTCTTTTATCAGTTATTTTAAAAAGCTGTATTATTTAAACTGAGTCTTAGTAAATTTTGTTGGCATACAATCATTATTCAGCATTACTTTCTCACTTAAATTTGAGAAACAAACAAAAAACATACTCTGACAGCTTTTAGGTGATACTATAGCTAAGTTAATTTACCTGGTATTGATGAAGTTTCTTCATGATTCCATATTAGAAACAGAAAGCACATGAGAATGAGTATGGGCACTGTGGCCACTGGCATCGTCTCTGGTACTAGGCTGGTGATGTTGTAGTGCATTGGATTCAGCGTTTCCAGTACCATCTTTTCCGAGAGATTCTGCTTTGCTTGAGAGAGAGAGAGAAAGGGGAAAGAAGGAGAGTTTTTCAAAGCTCAGCGATCTATTCAGCTTTAGTCGGTACCTCTCAACCCCTTTGTAGGTCTTGTAAATGAGCAAATTAGCTCTTGAGGTAGCTTTATTTTATAATGAGAGTGACTGCCTGGACTGCTTGCCAGGACAAGCTACATCACAAGTCGAAACAGACATGCAGCAGACACTCTTTTTTTCTTGGAAATAACAAAGCTTTTCTGACCTTGATATTGAAGCATAGTTTTGGATACTTTGGCTGACAGACCTCTTATCTCTGATACTGACTTGGCTGCCAAGACTGAGGTTTACTCCTTGCAAATTTCTAACCAAAACACAAGAAGTGATACTTTCAGCACATGTGGAAGCACTGAATGAGTTCACTCGCGAGCTTTTATCTCTGTTACTTAGCCTTTTTCCTTCCTGCATGCCCGTAATGCCAGAGTCCTTGAATTTCCAGAATAACTACTTTAGTTTTTCATGATGCAGATAGAGTGTACCCCAGGTTTTTGTCTGAAACAATGTATTATGTTTTTTTTATTGTCAACCTTTGAGTGTAGTATAATACATTGCATTTCTTTATGGTTCTCTTGCTAAATACTTTGAAAAATATAGTGTATGCCATACTGATAGGATCATGGATTGTCTGGTACCGTATTTTTCCTCAGGCAGTAACCAGCACTTGGCACAGGAAAGAAAAACCAAGCAAATGGACAGGTCTGTTATGCATAGGGGGAGTAGAAGGATTCCTTCGAAGTGGTTTTGCATGTTCTTGATTTTAAGTCATAAAATATGAGAGGTGATTGTACCTGAGAAGGAAGATGTTATTCTGTGAATGAGAACTCATATAACCACAGAAAGACACTGCTTGCATCTGCACAGTAATTTATTAATAAAACACCTTCTTAATTCTGCTCTGACAATAATTAAGAATAGATTTGCTTTGTTCCTTCCTGTGACGGTATTTCAGAATTGAAGGATGTATCTACTTAACAGGAAGACTTTTTGTTACTGTTTGATTTCAGCAAGTCCTTTCTTGTTTATCTTGTGCTTTGGTCTCACGTTGCAGAAGAAAGTACAGCTTACTTTGTAGTACCTGTCAGTGCTATGATTATGTTAAACTAAGCCAAGAATGTCATAGATGCTTTCTAGATAGTAAGAAGGTCGGTATTCATGGTCGAAGTAGAAAATGCATAGAGTACAGGCAAAATCCTGGGGAAGGGAGCAAGCAGTGGCTCAAAACCTTGCAGGTGCATGCAATGCTCCAGTATTTTGGGGAATTGCTACGCAAGGCTTCTGGTATTGCTGAGATCCAAAATGACCGTGACAAAATTCGCCAGGTGACCTTTTAGAAACATGCGTGCTATTCCAACAGCTAGCAGCACACCTCTTACGAGAGCGTCCGTGTGCGTATTGCATCTTGTACACGGTCAACTGTTGTACTGTCTTGCATGTTGTGAAAAATGTTTTTGTAATCACAAGCATTTTTTAATCATGTGATGGTATTTATTAGTTTCACTAGTGTACTGTTGCATGCTAATGATGTTTGTTCAGTACAAGTAAAAATGCTAGCTTTAAATTTCCTTGAGTACTATTTGTTACGACAATAAAAGCATGCCTGCACGTATATACAAATACCTTTATTAGTTTCAGTCCCTTTCGCTATGTGAGCGTACAGCATTATAGAAGGAAATAACTACACTTAGGGCATATAGTTTCACTTTTTTGTTGCTTTCTCTCTGGATATGGATTAACTTCATCTTTGTACTCCGTTGCTACAGATAGGCTCTGATGTTCGTTGTTTTATGTTGGTTTTTTTTTAATCTCCAAAACATTCTGGCATGTCTGTACAGTAGTTTCTCTGCCTCATTCCCTATGACGAGAAGTATGTAGGTGGTTATGCATTTGGGTGCTATGAAATAAACACACCTATATGTACAAACGTGTATCTATCAGTATTATCTCTGTAGGTTAAGCCGTGCTAGAGTTCAAGGTGCTCGTATCTCTGCACGGTGCACTTTGCAAGCATGAGTCTCCCCTTTTTATTTTCTAAAAAATCAACCCTGAGTTTTGATCTTGCTCAGTTCTTAGTTATTCACAGCTAAAGCTTATCTTTGTCTTGACAGAGGAATGGAGGCAGGTTTCTATCTTTTCAAAATATACAGATTGTAATGGATTGGGTTTTAGGTTCTAGACTATGCCAACTTCATAATTTTATAATTTATTAGTAAAAGAATAAAATCTCTTTTGCTGTGCCATGATATCCAATACATCAGTGTGCACCTTGCTTTTAGATTTCTAATTTTTATATCCTGGATCATGCTCTTGTGTAGATAAAAGGTACTAAAGGCACTATATTAAATTTGAATCCTTTTTATACTCTTGAACTGATCTGAAGTAGTCTGTCTTTTAGTCAAAGTGGCTCCTCAAGCTCTTAAAACAAGCAACGGACATTTCTTGTATTGAGAAGTTCTTTGCCTCATTTCGATGAGTATGATCCAAGCAGACTTTCAGGGTTTGCATTTCTATTGCTTTTTTCATTGCAAGAGCCAATTAGACCATGAAAATTTCACCTTAAAAATATTTCAGCTGAACTGCTTGTCCTGCTTTTACCTATTGTATTTTTTTAAGAATTGTCCATGGGGTAAATCACTCCTAATAAAACCTCAGCCGAGTAAATTTTGATAGCAAGTAGTCACTGAATAGACTGAAGAAGTTTAGAAATGGAACAAAGCCAGAGTACCCCTTGTGCATGAAAGAACCTTTCACTATTCTTGCTCATTTTGTCTTGAAATCTTCTAGAGGTAATTTTCCTTTCCTTGCAGCTGGTTGAGGTATGTGTCTGATCAGAGGGATTTGTTGGTTCTGACTGTTACTTATATGGTGGAGCAGGGACGGGGATGGGGCAAAAAAGCTTTTAAAATCAAAAAGTGGGAGGGAAGAGACTTATTATAAGGAAGTGCTTTTGTGACAAAGTAGATGGATGTGCACAGGCTGCCTGACCTGACAGTAATTGTGGATCTTAACAGCTGGGAAGGCGTCTGCCAGCAGAGGGCCCTTTAGATTGCTGATCTTTAAGTCTTGACTATAAACTCTGAGAAAATTCTAGGTTCTGCTAAACGTTTTCTTGCAAAAGGTGACACGATGAATGATGACAGGGTCCACAGTAAAGAAGAAAGTCCATATATCTAAAGGACAACTGTCTTGACCCCTTTTCTTCCAGTTGGAGCTTTGTACTTAATGACTGTGTCAGTAAAAGAGCAAATTATGTATCATGCTATAGAACTGGAGCTGAAAATTTCTGATAATTTTGAGAAGGAGCTCATAAAACTGCCTGAAAACTCTTGAAGAACCTTTCTTGAGTGCTGGAATTCCTTCCTCTGTAGTGGTTCATCTGTCAGGAGGAACATGGGGAAAAAAAATCTGCTAGTTGTTACAAATCCCCAAAGGTTAGTGACCAATATTAGCAGCACCTGAAGCAACTGATACAGGTTTAACTAAACAGTTTGGAAAAATAAAATTTTAAATAGACTGATTTCACACAAAAGTAAATCTATTGGCTTATATAAGCCCAGTAAGTCTTTATTTTTCCGGATAAAATTATGTAGGCTTCCTCTCTTTCTAGAAGCTGATTCTACATATTGCCTGTTTTCACTCAATTAAGATTGACAGTTTTGTGCAGACTGTAACGGTTCAGCCTTCTTCATGTAAGTATGCAGATAGCTTTTGTTGTGCATTTCACAACTGGAAGGCTAATATCTAGCTAGGCAAGTAGTGGTTTTCTTGTATTTGTTCTGTGGATGCTGCCTGAACGTGCAGCAGTCCAGGAGGACAGCGGCTCATGGTGCCTGCGCTGCTGTTTTAGTTTGTATCAGGGGTACACTTTGGTAGCAAACCTTCAGATGATTCCTATTCCCGTGCTTCGGTACGTATCACAGAGCAATCTCAGAGCGTGCAAACTGGGGTCTTTTTGGGTGGAAATAAATCAGGTAACGTACTCCAAAGCTGTGTCTCATGCACACCAGCTTTTAATGGGGATTCAAATGACAAAACCAGTTTAGATCTATAGTGAAGTGAACTCCCATGAAACGTGTATAGTGTAGGGAATGGATCATCACCAACAGTTTTGTTTTATGGATCTGCTCCCATTGTACCACAGTGTTTGCCCATGTTGATATAGCCTAAAAGGAACACAGAACCTCTTGACAAATAACATAGTTGGTTTTAATTAGTTTTAGGCATGCAACTATCTTGCTGCATTGGGATTATAGCACTTAACATAGGATGAGAACTGTCTCTGACTCTTAACTGCATGTCAGATCTCTTTAACAGAGCTTGTACTGAACGAGTTCCATACAATTATTTTAACATTGCCTTCAAACTGTGGATTTTATTGCAAAGTCGGAAATTATTTTCCCAGCTATTGAATAAGAAGTCATATGTGGGACTACTGTAAAATTAGTTGCATTTGCGTGGAACCTATTGTAAGAACCACTAAAAAGAATCTACTTTTTTGTTACATGGTTACATTCCTTTTAAAGAATTAATTAATTTGAAGTGGATAATTATCACCAGGAGTACAGCATGTGTCACATAAGCCTTGATAGGGATTTTCTTGTTCCCTTGAAAGTCTGTGGGGTTTAAAGTTGAGAACACATCAAAAGACTTTTTTAAACTTGAGAGTGCATACCATTCCTTGTAAACTGAGCTGTACAATTACTCTGTAAGCATCGGATTGCATGTTTAGCGTCACCCTGGAAATTGCTCCCTGATATTCTGTGGTCTCTTCTAATGCTGTAATGCTCTCAGGATGCAATGGGGATGTCACGGAGAGATTTCCAGCACAATTTATTGGTCAGCTGATATTGTGTTACTCTTGCTGCGACAGTCTTTGTCTTTGATTATAATATTTTTTTTCTTATTCATTTTTCACTTGCTCTGAATCTGTGCTTTAGTGATCTGATCCTTTGCTCCAGGTGACATCCGTCTTATTATAGATGGTTTCATTTGCAATTACAATGTGCAGAGCAGCTTTTTTAAAGTCAGGTGTTTATATTACTCTGC